AGTTCCTGAGCACCACTTCACACTCTCAACTGCAGACGTGTCGTTGAAAAAAGCCCTCTGTGCTCCATTCTTGAAAGATGGATCCAGTGGATTGAAGCTCCTCTTATCCACACTCACGTGTCATCTGAATGGAAAGGAAGCCCCTGCAGAGTCCACTCCAGATCCTCTCAGACTTGTGCAAACAAACACCATGGACCCCCAATGGAGGCAGTAACCCTGCTCAGAGCCCTGTCACAGAAATATGCAGACGATGTTTCAATAACTGAAGTCCTTACGTTGGTACAAGTGCATGACTTATCCCCACAGTGTATGGATGAGTCTGGTAGCTCTCTCATTCTGGCTCTGGACGCTGGCTCTGAAAGATTCCATCAGCATTTCCAAAAGACTCTCAGAAAGAAAGATGAGAGTAATCTAGTTGCAGCTCTGGAAGAAATAAAAATGTCATGGGATTTGGATGATTCAGTGATTGATATGATAAAAAACATCACCACTGGTGTCCTGCAATATTCAGAAAATGCACCAAAAGATGCCCCATTAATGAAAGATTCCTTTCAATGTGTAACATTGAATGCAGACCACATACAGAAGTCTCTGTCTCAGCTCTGTAAAGCAGTGTTTGACACAAAAGGCTGGTGGCCCACAGTGAGGCAGATGCTGCGGTGGTGTGCGTTGGTGCTGACTCAGAAGAGTGGAGCTCTACAGCTGGTTGGTGTGGAAGAAGACCCGTGTGTCACAGCCATGTTTGCAGCCACACGAGTCTGCATGGGAAACAAAGTGGACATCGTGCTGAGCTCTGACGTTCACTCAGAGGAGCGAACTGAGGACTGGTCTGACTTCTACAAGTATCTTGGAATTTCTCTCAACACAAACATGAAGAAAAGGAATGAATCACACAGGGATGTCTATGAAGCGGACATTGTGTACGGTACCATCAATGACTTTGTCTCTGATTACTTCCAATACGGCGCAGAGGTGATGGAGGCAGGGAACCCGCTGCTTAGTCGTGGATTTATCATTGAAGAACAAAGTCTCAGTTCTTCCTATAATCTGGAACCTTCAAAGCTCAAGGACAATGATTCCCTGGTGTTTGCTGCAGAGGTCCTGCAAAACCTCATGGGTAAATTTCACAGTGAAGATAAGGAACTGAGACAGAAGTTTATTAAAGCTCTTTTTCAGGTGCTGCACACCAACCTCAACAAAGACACAAACACTGACAATAAAATCATCACCATCTTAAAGAAAATATCTGGACAGGGACTGCCTTCTAATGAGGTCTTCATTCTGACCTTCCTGGAGAATCTCCTTAAAGTGGTCACTGAAGAAACAGAAAAACAGGACATCTCCTGCAGGCAGATGGTGTTTGGAGATATTATTTGACTGTGTGGAGAATTTCCAAGCATCAACAACTACAAAAGAACTCTTCCAGATAGTTTTGAATCTTGAAGCACAAAGACTTTGCTCACCAGTAGAGACCTTAATCCTCCTCGGCACATTAACTGACCACCATCACGATAAAGACTGTATCTCCATCATGAAGATTTTACATTTAATGGAAACATATCAGGTTTCTACCAAGTGGACAGATAAGAACAACAAATCTCTCCTTAAGCTCTTGGATTCATCTAGAACTGAAACTCTGATCAAGCATTTAGAAGAGAGCCTTAGAGATGAGAAAGCAAAAAGCATTGAGACTCTTGTTGATGAAATACGGCAGATGAAAGACATTGATGAACAAACACTGAGTAAATCATACAGTGTAGTAACTCATGTAACAAACCTGATCAAAACCGGTGAAATCAGAAAGCACACAGATGTACAGCGAGCTAGGAGTCTGAGTCACAGCACCGACACAGAAGACCTTCAGGAAGTCCTGGCAGTCTTATGCAATGCTGTACACCTGCACAGGGCTGAAGGGAAGTGGTGGCCCAGAGCCACTCAGATGATAAGCTGGTGCCTCTTGGCCTTGTCTGACACTGGGAAGCTCCTGGAAATGGGCACTGGCGGAGAAGAAAGTCTGTTCAAGCGAATGTTTTGGCAGTGCTGCCGTGTGCTTAGGGGTTGAAAAGGGTAGATGTGGTGTCCAGCTCTTCTGTGTTGTGTCAGAGAGATGCAGAAGAATGGACCAACTTCTACAAGTACTTTGACATAACAGCTGACACAAACACAAACAAAACCGACGATAAAGATCGAAAAGAATGCTACCAGAAGGATGTGGTATATGGAACTATCGAGGCCTTCGCTGCAGATCATCTTCGCCAGATATTTGAGATGAAGGATGTCAGGCCTGATCGCAGCTATCAGTGCATCATAATCGATGAAGTGGACTCACTGTCAGGGACGTGCAGCTGACCTACCTGTCCGCCCTCATGGTCTCAATGCAGCACTGAACGTTATTCTGGCCATGATCTGGTGGTCATGTCAGGCAGTTATGGCGTTCATGCTCTACAGGACACCAGACATTTTACCAGGGCCCTGCTTCATTCTTCAAGGCCCATCTTTGAGATCCAATGGACATTTTACACATCGCTGAAGAATGCAACACAGTGCCAAAAGGATTTACAGAGGACTTCTACCAAAGTAAAAAGGATGAACTTCTGATGAAACTGAAAACTGTGAGTCAGGATGCTGTGGTAGATTTTTTCCAAGAACTTGAGCAGTATGTCCCCTATGGTTTTACTGTTTACACTCTAGATGATGAGGGATTGCTCAGTCTTAGAAAGCGCAGCCCATACAACAACAAGGACATTCAAGAACTCACATTTCTTGTCCTGGAGGAAGGACTGTGCTGTCCTCTCTATGATTCAGAAGAAACTCTCATCAAGTCCATTGCAGAATTAATCTCAGAGAGGCTTCAGTACACCCCATGTACAAACAATAAAGACAAAATCAGCATTCCTGGATTCTTGAAGAATCTGGTGGAGAAGAAAGTGTCAGTGTGGGTTCAGAATGCCTTTCTGGCAATGCAACTGACGGAGGGACGGGAATATGTTGTAGAAAACGACAATGTCTGTCCTGTGGATTTCAGATCCACTGGCATTGTAGAGCTCAATAAGAAATGGGGTGATGGTCTGCAGCAGTTTGTTGAGATTAAACATCAAATCAAACTGAGCACAATTTCAGTAGTGACAAACTACATTTCTAACATCTCCTTTTTTGAAAAGTATAATGGGAAAATATACGGAACAACTGGGACACTTGGCAGCAAAACAGACATTCAGTTTTTACAGGACCTATATCCAAATCTCTCTGTCTGGAAAATGCCAACATTCAACAGGAAGAAGTTGTTTGAGGTCAAAGGTACTCTGAAGACCTCAGCTGAAGAGTGGAAATCTGAAATAAAACGGGTAGTTATGGCTCAGATTTCCCCAAATTCATACAGAGATGGAAGAGCAGCCCTGGTGATCTGCGAGACTATTAACAAAGCCAAAGAGATCCATGAAGAGCTTAAAAAAAGCAGAATCCCAGGTGAAATCATTCTTTACTGCCGCAGTGACAATGACAGTCTAAGCAAAATCGACAAGAAACTGCTTCCTGGTGATGTTATTGTTGCCACAAACCTTGCCGGACGTGGCACAGACATAAAAGTGTCCAAACAGGTGAACGACAATGGAGGATTATTTGTGATCCTCTCCTTCCTTTCTGAGAACACAAGAAGTGGAAACTTCAGGCTTTTCGGATCGAACGCACCGTAAAAGGTAAACCTGGATCTGCTCAGACAATCTTCTCGACTGAACACCTGGAGCAGTCTTTCAGGACAGTGTCTTCTCTGGAGGAAGCTAAGAGCACGAGGGATAGACTTGCAGCAGAAAAGACGAATAACATGATGAACGATGTCACTGAGTTGAGACTTCGGGAGGACCTGTTCTCAGAGTACTGCAAAACTCTTCAAGATATTCATGAAAACACAGATGGAGATGACAGAAGAGCTGTTGTTGCCATCATGAATGAGTTCTGGGGGATGTGGTTGCAAATTAAGTCAGCGGAAATTGACCAGTTGAAGAGAGATGAATTGCAAAAGAGTTTGAAAGCTGATTTGTCATGGGCAAAAAGTCAGTCTGAAAGTCGGACTTCACCGTGTTTCAGCATTTATCACTACATCAAGTTTGGAAATATCGCACTGAGTGAAAAAAAATGGGATTTCAGCAGACAGCTCTTTGAAAAAGCCATGAAACAAGATAAAAGTTGGGCAGCTATAGCTTTCTACAATCATGCATACTGCACCATAAAGCAGAAGAATGGAGATTACCTCACTCAGGCCAGAGATGATCTAACGAAGGCACAGGAGTCTCTGAAGTATCTCAGTGAGGAATCCATGGTCTGTCTGCAGCTTGTAAAAATGTCTTCTGCTGACTCAGCCAACAGCAACCCAACCAACCTTGAAAAACAGTTAACAACCAAGAGCAGGATGTTCAGATACTTTGACGAAAACATTACTGAGGCCATGCAAAAGCTGGATGAAATAAAAGGAAACGACCGGGATGCAGTGGCCAATAAATCACCAATTTTCTCTCTGGTGTCTGGCGCTGATGATGATGATCTCCAAGTGGAAGCCTATAACCTCTACAGTCAAGGTCTGAAATATGTGTTTTCTGTGGAAGAGGAGCCCCGTTTCCCATGGGAAGCTTTTCTAGTGTTCTGTCTTGGAATTTTACAGATTGTTGGAGGAGCACTGATAACTGCATTTACGTTTGGTACATTAGCTCAAGTTGGCATGGGACTCATCACTGAAGGAATATCAGACTGCATCTATGGCATAGAGGCCATGGTGACAGGAGATTTTAGTTGGAAAGAATGGGCTATAGAAAAAGCCATTTCTATTGGTGTGTCTCTCATTGGGTTTGGAGTTGGAAAGCTTATCGCAAAGGGCTTCAAAGCTTGTAAAACGTTAATTAAGGGAATTGGCAAAAATCTGAAGTCACTGCCAAAGTTTCTCTCCAAACAGGCTAAAGACACTTTGAGTGTTGTCACAAAGACAAATATGAAGAATACTGTAAAACACACTGCTAAAAAAATGGTAGAGGAAATCATTAACTATGGATTTGGTAAGGCAGAAGAGAAAATACTGTCAGAAATACTAAACAGCATTGAAAACCTTGTGAAAAATGGAATTGGTGATGACGTGAAATCCAACATGGAAAAAGAACCCTTGGCTACATTAGTAGACCTTGTTATCCTCTCACACATTGATGATAATAAGCAACTTCATGATCTCCTAAAGGACAAGAACAAAAAGAAACAACTGCTGGACATTTTCAGAACATTAAGCAACACTGCAGTACAGCCTTTCTATGCAGACCTTGACTGGCAGAACAAGCTGAACTCATCCTTCTCCACAGTGATTGACAGTGCTAAAAAAGAGGCAAAGGGAACATTACGTGGGATTCTAACAGCCATCCAAGTTGTCCACATGAAGGCACTGGCAGGAGACGCCATCAGTGTAGTCTCCAGCCTCTCCAGCAAGTTTTTTTCAAACTTTCAGGAACAACTAACTAAATTTAAAAAATCTGAGAAAGTGAAGGTAAATGAACTATCTGCTTCAGACAGTGAGCTGTTGAAAGAATTCAAGCAGGATTTGGCTGACACCATCAGTGCTTTATTGGCTAAGGCTTTGGTACAAGTGTTCCACCAGAAGTTCTCCAGTTACTGTGTTTCTGGTGTTCAAGACAAAGTAAATGGCGTCATTGGCAATTATGTACAATCTGGCTTAAAGAGTGACAGAACAGAGGAAAAACTCAGAGCTGGACAGAACAACAGATACATCGCAAACATGCCAGTAGATCCAAATTCTGAGCATAAACTTGCAGGAGAGGCAGGTGACCACTCGGCACAGTCACATGCTGAAAAGATCAGGGATCCCATGACTGTGGGAACCATTGTTGATATCAGAATCCTGTCAGAAACCACCCATACTAAGGTTGTCATTCTAACAGAGGATAGCCATGGCAGACTTACCAAAATGCAGGAGCTGAGCCCACGCACTGAACACACCGATCAAACTGTGACACTGATCTACCAACCAAAGAGTGCCCAATTCCCAGACGGCCATTATGATGTGCAGATCAATACCTGAATTCCTGATTGAGCCAAATCACTCAATGGCCCCTGTCGGACTCATTAACTGCTCTCTTGTCGCCGAAAGAATCCTACACTCCGTAGTAGTTCTCCAGTACAAAGTCAAACAGACTATAGAAAACTGTTTATGCAGGCACATAAGCAAGATGATTGTGGGACCTTCCACACTGACGATTAATTTGGACTCTATGTCCAAGATTAATTGGATGGCCACTAGAAAGAACATTATACAAGACTTATCACAGAGACATCAACCAAGATGAGTAAAAACCAGACTTGCACTTTGAAAAACAAGCTTCAGCACACACGTACAAGAGATGTTCGTAGCAGCACGATGAGGGAATAGTTTAAAACGAAGGCTTCATCACGCGCGCAGGGGAGGGTCACATGGACCAGAATCAAGCAGATCTCCTTGTTCACCACCATGAACTGACTGAATGGATTCAACAAGAAGGGCTAAATAGATCAGAAGACGAATCCTGCACAGGAACCACCGACTCCCTAGTAACTCGAAACAGGGTGAGATCACATTTACATTATGATACCTAAATGAGCAAATATAGAAACGGCCTTCATGACATGAGAACAATGTATGGTAATCTACGACAGAATAGTCTATTAATAAGGCGCAGGAGGGAAATGAGAGAAGGAGCCACATGTTCTACACCCAGATGCATGTTGCCCAATCCTTGTGTAACTTAACTTCGAGCGCCCGTGCTATGGGAGTGCCGTTCAGTAAAGGGCTCAGCGCTTGAACATATACAGCAAATATCTTGTCCAACATTATAGCCCTTCTCAAATTGGTTCTGAAGAACAACTGTTTCCTTTAGGCTACTTCTTTTGCACATCTTACAACAATCAATCACACACACACACACTACACATATTTATCAAACACTAAGTTAAAAATCAAGAAATATTTAAAATTGGTTACA